GCAGTTGGGTGGTTGTCAAGTTTTCCAGACGTTTTCTTTGTGCAGTTTGCTGAAGACAACGTGCGGAAACCACAAGCTTCGGTTGCGTGAAAGAGAGCAAAGTTTTAGCTTTGTTGTCGTCGTGTTTGTCACTTGCGAAAGCTTTTTCGTTCAGTTCAACGCCGCCTGTTTGGTTTTGCGTTTCAGGGCTCCGCCCAAATGCCACGCCCCTGCGTGGGCCCCTAGGATCGTGCTCGGAATGCTTGGATTGGATTTAAGCACTCGCAAAGCCACGGGACTCTGTTGGTCGAAATTCCCGACAGAAAAACTCAAACCTTGAAGCTTTACATTTCATGTGTCTGTTGGGCTTAAGGCAACCAGTCAATGAAGGCACCTATAAGCTTCAGGGCGTGGATTTAAGGTTTAGTGTGTAAGGCTTCACCCACGTGCTTTAGCCAGGCACTGTTTCCAGGCAGGGGTTGTTTCCAGCCAGAGGCTGTTTTCAGGCCGGGGCCGTTTCCAGGCCGGGGCTTTCCAGCAAGGGGCTCTTTCCTGTACAGGGTTTTTTCCTGCCAAGGGCTGTGTCTAGGCATAGGCGGTTTCCAGAACCCGGCTTGTTTCCAACCAGAGGCTTGTCAAAATTTTTCTGGGCCTTTTCCCCTCCAGGCCGTTTCCAACCCAAGGCCGCTTCCAGCCCAGGGCGTTTTCCAGCCAGAGGTCGTTTCCAGGCCAGGGCTTTTCGCCCCTATTTGTCACCTTCAAGCATGTATCGCTGCGCCAGGCCCCGCTGAATCTCTTGGGAGACGCGTTTGCTTCTGAAGAAGGAGACTTCGTCAAGGTGGATGATGTAGACTCCGACCTTCTAAATGGAGGAGTTGACCTTGGTTTTTTGAGTTCAGGCTACTCGGGACCCCTTGCGTGTCCATAGCGGTCTTTTGTACCATTGGCCTTGATCGCTCTGTTCTTGTTCCACATTGGCAGGCACCAGCACGTTATGATTTGGATTGCCAATTCTGCGTGCTCGAAAGCCGCCCTGGTTGCAGCAGACTGAAATTTTAATGTCGCGCCTGATTTACGCGAAGCCAATGCTCCGTGTATGATCTTTAAGGCGGCGCTGCGAAGTCAGCACACGGTGCATGATCTTGCGTGGAGAAAACACGAATTGTGGTGGTACTGCGTGATTCAAATCAATCCAAATGCGCAATTGAGTGGTGGGTGTTGAGCCTGTACTTCGCAAGCACAGGGGAGGTCCTTCAAGCTCCTACGAATTCGCAGAAAAAAGGGCTCCTGCCAGTGGAGCAAGCTTCCAAAAGTTCGGGTTAACCCCAAACCTGCGGGTCCCGGGTTTTGGCCCCTCCCGGGCCGGGGACCGAGGTTGTAACAATGCTCAACCCCAACCCCCAACCGCCCCCCGCTGGGTATGCTCCAATTCTACCGTTTTGATTTTTAGCACATGGTATCTCATCATCCCAAGCATTCTTTGTGACGGGATTCTAATCCCCACCCGCTCGCGAAACAAGGCTCGCGAGAATTAGTACTTCAAACCAGCAGGCGTTTTCAAACCAAGACTATGTGTAAAACGCGCTTGTGCGCGAAAGAAGATTTGATTACGGCTGTGTCAAGCTCGTCAGTATCCCATTTTACCACTTCGAAAGAAATTTCGGAAACATCATGAATGGATTCGAATGTGTTGGGAGGACAAATGCATCTAGATGTTGTGACGACACATCAGTTTGAAGTTTTGAAAGTGTGAAGTGGGTGAAACGGAGTACCTAAAACATTTCCAATTTTCATTGATCAAAGGCAGCAGCAAGGTCGCATCAATGTCAACCCCCAATCTCCAACGTCCCTCAACCAAAAAACTATGTAGAACTTTGCTGCTGCGCGATCGGGCACACATATCACGTCGATGATGTACTGAAAAATTGTGCGTACAGTGCACAATCGCTATGGTTTGAAGCTGACAAGCAGCCGTTATCACCAGCTCAAGCTCAAACGCACATTGTGCTTTGACAGCCGAACAGATATCGGCTAACTCGAAGTCATCATCTCGGTCTTGCTGTTCTTGCTGTTCCTTCGACACAACTAGCTTACTATATTTGAGGGCACTGTGATGCAATACAAATTTCAATTATACCTGACATGCCATGCAATATCAATGCGATGCCTCGTGCCCAAACGCGGCCAGGGATTGGGATTGCCGCGTGTTTGATTGCCATACCAAGTCTTCAGTGTGGTGCGCCGCTGTTTGCGCGGCCTTGGTCGCGGGCTGTTCGAAGTTCGCAACTTTCCAAATCTTGCCAAGCGGCAGCATTGGGATTTGATCCGGACCCGAACGAATTGAAGAAGCTTGACAGGGCCTTGCCCCAGTACATGCTGGATTTCTTTGAGGGTAATGAAGTGAAAGCTATGCGAAGGTGGATGGAAACTTTGCAGTGGCGTTGTGAAATAGACGATGATGGTATATTCACACGTCCGAACACGGATTTTTTTAAGATCCAGCGACATTTTCCAACTTCTATTCACCTTCCTGACAAAGCAGGTCGTCTGACTTATTGGAACAGGGTTGGAAATTGGGATTCCTCCGGATTGGACGAAGATGGTTTGACAATCGAGCGGATCAGGGATGATTACATTTGGCAGACGTTGTTCACGTGGGACATCTGGTTGAAGCGCGATGACAGGCAACATTTGACCATCATCATGGACATGGACGGGTTTCGCATCTCCCAAATTACTCCGAAGCTTTTGCGCATTTTTTCGGCATCCTTCAATGCTGTTCAAGCACACATGCCTGATCGAGAGCATTTAGTCCTTGTCGTGAATGCACCTGATTGGTGGAGGACAGTTTGGTCAATTTTCCGCCCTTTCTTGGCGAAGAAGCAGCAGGAAAGACTCCGGGTTTGCGTTGGGAAAGATGAGTCCGTCGAGACACTTCGAGAGTTCATTGATGTGAAGAATCTGCCAGAAGCTTATGGCGGTTCCGGGATCGAACTTGGTTCTGCACCTGCAAATCTGCAAAGACAGAAGTATGCTGCTGAAGGTGCACGCAGATAAAACAGAATGTTGACATGCCTTGCTGAGACAGGTTCCATATGAGTTGATAGAGGGGGATTGAAGTCATGCCTTGTAGCCAAAAGTCCTAGAGAAGCCCAAACATGCTGTATGACAGGTGTTCAAGAGCATCCTCTAGATCAACTTATGCCATTCGGTCGTGTGGGACAAGTCGTTGCTGCCGCAGTCATTCGGTTCATGTGGCAGAATGGGCACTCTGGCAGAGGTAAAGGACGTAGTTCTTGGTGGCAATGAGCTGCACGCTCAGCGCTGGAGCCGGTGCGTGCAGTATGCAAGCCTGCGCAAAAAATGTGCTCCAGCTGCTCAGGCTTGTGACGCAAGATGGCGTTCCGACTGGAGTACCCAGATTGCAGCAGAAAATTGTGAAGTGTGCCCAGCGACAGTTGCCACACTTTGGCAGCTTTAGCAGTAGCAGCATTCGCACGGCTAGCCAGGTGGGAACATCAACCTGGTCACAAGCCCTTCACGAGCTACAAGCTTCCCAAATGGGTCTTCCTTGCTCGTGAGTCCGGGGGGGCCAGTCGACAAACGTCGTGCTCGCGCGCCCACGTTCTGCCTGAGCCAGGTGAAGCATCCCGATGCCCAAAAAGCCGCAATGTTTCTGCAGCCGGAGGCCTGTAACCAGAAACAGGTCACCCCTTTCGCTAGAACCGTGAGCACTGCAAAAGAGCAGGACTACATGGGCTCCAAGAGAAGACACAACATCCACTCCTGGAACGTGGCCCACATCGGTGGCTCGCTCGAAGCTAAATTGGCATGATTTGGTTTGACAGTCACTTGGCTCATGCTGCGCGTGATGATGAGTAACTTTAGTCGCAACACTTTGCGGTGCCGTCTCCATTTCTGTGGCTGCTTGTCTCTGAAAGGTGCGCAATGCGCGATGTTTGAGGGCCAGGGATTCAAGATGCTCGCGAAGGCCACGAGCGAGGAGATCAATGCACCGGCCTGTGACTGAGATACTGAGCTGTTTGGTGTTTTGGGAACTTCGAAAGTGTTTTCGGGCATGCTTTGCTGAGGACACTTTGGAGGGGTTTACGCCACTTCACTGGGCCGTGTTGTCGGACAACCCCAAGGCCGTTGCTAGCCCGCTGCATGCACATGCGGTTCTGTTTGCACAAATGCCTAGTGACTTGTGGCGCGTCGATGGAGGCTGTGATTTGGCTGCTGAAGAACGGAGCAGACAAGGACGCCAAAGATGCGCAGGGAAGGACTGCTGAAGATCTGATCGAGGACCCTCAGCCATGATGACATTGGGAGCTGTTGAGCCGCCACGGCAAAAGTCTCTTGCAGGATTTTTGGGGTGACTTTCACCAACGATATTGGGGACACTTTCCCAAGCAAGATGGCCTTCCGCAGGTTGACAAGGTCCTTTTCGAGTGCCAGCAGCTGCTCTTAGACTTTGCATGTTGGAGCCCTGCAGGTGTTTCCGAAGAGGATAAAGCAAATGAAGGATGCGTGTGGACCCCAACCTTTGCGCAATATTATCCTTTTGCTGATATGATGTGTTGTCGCAAGCCCCAGCTTTAGAAAGCTTCCAGGTTCAAGCTGACGTTTGCAGCCACGGACTCGGACCTTGACGGGTACAAGAATGTTGACGTCTAAACAGTCAAGCCTGTGCCATGCTGCAGCGAACACTCTCAACACTAAATACATAAAGTCTGTTTGTAGACACTGTTAACAACAACGGCAAAACAGCGCTTGGACATCTTCGGCAGCGACCAGCGCTTGGACATCTTCGGCAGCGACAAAAGCTGCAATTTCTTGTCCTTCATGTTGCCAGGGTACAGAAGGCTCTGACAGTGCTTGCAGCTCAAGGAAGTCTGCCGACATCATGTGTCTGGATGGCAATGGGTTTGGACGTTCTACATGCTCCAGCAGCATAGACGGAGAGTTCAATCCGTGTCGCTGCTTGGTCCATGTTCGTGGCAGCAGCTGTTTCTCACGTTGCGCTATACAAAACAGCACTCCCCAACAGTCACCATGGCGACGTTTAAAGCCTTCACCTTGCTGGAAGCACAGAAGTGTCCAAAGGCTCAAAACTTTAAGTCCTGCTCCTGGCTTCTGCCACGATCAGAAATTCCTAGCACGCAGACCTTCTTGAAGAGCTCTGCGTCAATCAAGTGTCGATGCAATTGGTGACATAGGTGAGTCGGCTAAGCACCCCTGAACTAGGTCGAGAGGGTTCGACAAGGTGGAAGCTACACGTAGTGGCTTCGTTGTAGCCCGTAAGGGCTGTCATCCCTTTCTCGGATCCTTTTGCACAAGAAATCTGTTACTCAAGGCTTAGAATCTTAAGAGACCGCTTGAGCCTTTCCCGGAACTGCTGCACGTTCATGCGGCAATGCTCGGTGCCGATGATCCACAAAGTGTAGGTGACTCAGAGTGTCGAGTACAGCTCCATGTGTTGGTCGTGGTAGGATTGAGAATGGTGAGCGAGGTGTTGACCAGCGGCTTAGCACCGCTGTTCGACTGGAAGGCACTGAGCCAACCGTCCGGACCCTGGTCATCGCGTTGCCGAGAGTCGCCAAGAGATAGCAACAACACGCAGTACCATTGCATCACTGCTTCTTCCTATGAGGTGCCACCTTGATTTTCAGCAGGCCCGTGGATGTTGTCTGTCAATTTTTTTGATCGCTTGTGCAGCACCTTGCTTTGTCCCAGTTCCTGGACAGCCTTTGCATCTCGCCTTTAGCCCCTCCAGCAGTCTTGGAGGCGCGGAGATGACAAAACGGTGGGTTGACTTCTGAATGATTTGAAAGTCCCTTGCGAGGTGGCTCGAAAAGCTGCAGCTTTTCCATATCCTCCCCACTGGTCTGAGGAGATTGATGCTGCTTCAGGCTGCAAGCCTTGATCCTTTCTTGCCTTTGCTACCGTGCCTGTAGTTTTCTTGAAATTTGGCCACGCGAGGTGCTCTCTACTTCTATCACCAGTTGCGTGATGAGTCGTCCTGGCAGCTTCTTGGTCAGAAGCGGCTCTGGCCAAGGTGAGACTGATTTGGTCATGGATGTTACGACCAAGGCATCCGCTGACGGAAACAATCCAGGAGGTGAGTCTTGCCAGCACATCCGGCAATGAGTTCGTTGTAAAGTTGACAAAGTGTTGTCCCTGCTGTATTTGCCTCCGGACAGGTGCTGCAGCAGGTGAGCTCGTTCGTTGTGAGGATCTTACATGCCACCTTTGAGCAGATCGATACACGACTGCGGCGAGAAACGAGGCCGACCAACTGGAGCTGGACCAGGTGGTCGCGATCCTGGGTGTCCCAAATCTCCTCCACCTGCCAATCTCTTCGGACCAAGGCATGCCGAATCGAAGCTATCTTGACCGAGATCCAGGCTTGCGATCTAGTTTCTTGTGCACCTCGCGATGCAATGACGGATCACATCATACTCGGAGGCTCGAGCAGCTGCTGCTACTGAGCTGCAATCCAGTTTATGGTTGCGATGGCTGTGTTTGGTTTCGAGCAACTCGACAGGATGTATTTCCTTGCTGACTCGATTTGCATCTTCCATAGTTTAGCTTGATTCGAGGGCTTGTGGGTGACTTTCATGGCTTCTTTGGCTTCATGGCACCATTTCTGCGGTTTGTCCCGTCCCTCGGAACTTCGAGAATCGCTCGAGGTCCCTTTCAAGTCCCAGCTCGTGTTGGTGTCGTCAAAAGCTGCGAAGCAATGTGGCAAAAGATGCGGTAGTTCGAGGCAGGAATTGTAGAAAGGAGAACATGCAGGAGTTGTGCAACGGCGGGTTGAAATGCTACAGCAGCATACGAATGTCTTTGGCAAGAGAATCTCAGACAGTCTGCCTCGGAGACGAGGGGGCCCATGGCTAAAGCACTTGCAAGATCACGCACAAACAGACTGAGAAGAACTTCGCTGTGCTTTTGGGCAGCGGTTTGATGCTCGGCTAAGGAACTGCAGCAGTGGGTCGGGCCCCTTGGAGAGCCGGGCTGTGAACAGTGAGCCGGTTTGACATCACCCCCCGCCGTCTCTCGCTGACTCCGTGCTGATAAGCACACCATCACAACGGTTGCCCACCATTAACGATTTTTGGTACGTTACTGGATGTTACTGGTAGCTGTCGAACATTATCACCTGATGACACTTCATCCGTATTTTCGTTGGTCGACCTGGAGCTGTCCCTCCCATCAAGTTTTGCATCGATACTGCTGTCCCAGATCAGATGAGTGAAGACGGGAGGTACTACTACAACAGTGTGACCGGCTGCAGCGTCTGGGAAGATCCCTGCGAGCGCTGGAGATATGACGTTCATGTCGGACACAGAGAGGGCACAGACAGGGTGATCAGAAGCAATTTTTCATCATGCTGAGAGTTGTCCCGGGAGGTCCGATACGACCTGCTCGTAGGCCCCGGAACTGCCTTGTGTCGACCAGTTGCGGATCAGTAAAGGGCGGGAAGCTTCAGATGGCATAGTCTTGTGACCCTCGGCCCCTGGAATGACTGGAGTGGAGTAAAATTGTTTTTTCTCTGAAAATCTTGTTAGAAATCTGTGAACCGGTCTGTGAGTGTGGAGAGGCCTGTGAGAGGAGGCTGTGAGGATCCTGTGATAAATCTGTGAGAAACCTGTGAAACGTCTGTGGGGATTGCAGGTGATCTGTGAGAAATTTTGTCAGAAACATGTGAGAAACCTGCGAAAATCTGTGAGGAACTTGTAAATGAGTGGGATTTGGGTCCTGCCAGTGATCCCTTCCCTCACAGCTTTCTCACAGGTTTCTCACTGTTTTTCTCACAGACCCAACACAGACCCTGGGCCGCCGGATTTCCGTTCTCAAAGGTTTCTCACAGAATCCGCTGACAGCTTTCTCACAGCTTTCTCACAGAAACAATACTTTCATTTTGACGATGCCCAATGAGTCCACGCCATCGGGGGTTCACAAGCATAGTCGGTGGAAGCCGCATCACGTGGCGCAGGTTTCCTTGTTAGTCAGGAGCGTAGCTCCAGGGCAACCAAGGCCAGCAGTTGTAGATGCCACAATACCGCTGTGTTGAGTTGTCCTGGATCCGTTTGCAGTGGGGACGGAAGGCCATGCCTGACCTTACACACACGTGCTGGCCTTGAGAGCATGAGATGGCTGACATCTCACGAGGTGTGGTTGAGCGTCGCATCTAAAGGCTTACCTCTCTGGCGTCCTCGGTCAGCTCGGTGAATAGCATCCTTGCAAGCTCACTGACAGCGCCAGCCGGAAGCCCATTGACAACAGACTCAACAGGCTGCACAAGTCGTGCCGTATTTCGAGGCACACTACGTAGGAGATCCTGGTGACCCAGAGGTCCAGGATGGTCCGAGCAAGGCAGTAGCAATGACAAGGAACCAGCACCATTTCAGGCCAGCGGTGCTCGCTGGGCTCGTCCGCGCCCTCGCCGACAAGGGTTGCCATTGCCGTGCGCTCGCCCAGAACAGCGCGGTGAGTGAGACTAGCGCTGTGTGAACTCCTTGGTTCGCGTCGCTCAGACCCAAAGCTACGGGGACAGTGTGGTGCCTGGCTTTCGTCGGAAGCTTGTGTCAGCATGGTCTCAAGAGATTGCCGGGATTGGTGAGGCTCCTCGAAAGGCTTTGTTCTCGATGCCGCCGCACCAACAGCAGTACACGTCACAGGCCTTTAAAATTTTACCACACATGGAAGCTCATGTTCGAACTTCAACATGATATTCAGGTGCTACAGTCGGAGCAGCCGCTGTCGTGGCCCTCCCAGCATGGTTGGGTGTCGCGTTCCAAATTGCTCAGCATCCGATGCCATCTTCGCCGTGCCTTTGTGCCAGGCCAAGCGCAGTGGCACCTCCGCCTCCGCCGGTAGGATCACCAACCCGAGGTGTCGGCCTAGGTTGACAAAAAAAAGTGCAGGACGCCTGTGCCTCAGCCTGTTGGGATGCAGTCTACATTCCGTACAAGTCTAGCATCGTTCAAGGTAGGTGAATGAATTGACACGCGTGGTTGTGAGGGTCCTTTGCCCAGAAAGGTGAGAAGGTCGCCCATAGCCGTAGCCGAGATGGTTGACAGAGTGCTTAGTCTCAGTCACTGGCTCTGGCTTACTATATCTTTAGTGGTGCCGTGGTGCTGCACCGACCGTGCGTGATGAAACGTGCACGTGCACATGGCTGTCATTGCAGATGGCCTGTTCTGCTGATGATATCCCAAAACGTGGATTTGTTTGCTTGGTATTCCTTGGGACGCAGGATGTGAAGACGCCACGAAGACGACGACACCGACGAGACAACCAGCAGAAAGCGACATCTTCGAAGAGATGGATCGTGAACTCGGCACCTGGCTCCGTAGTGATGCCACGGTGATTGGCCCTCTGAAGTGTCTTCCCGGATGGGGAGGGGTTGAACTACTTCGCCGAGGGCTAGGAGGGGACCATTGTGGGAGACTTCCTCAGCGTTGCTCCGCTCGCCCGCTGTCTGTCACCTCGACCCAAGCGGTTTCGAGCGCATCAGGCGCTCAACTTTCAGGTGCAGGGAGCTGCCTGTCCAGACTTCTCCAGACCATTACAAGTTTGCAGCAGGCCGGTGATTTGCCAGTACACCTACCGAGACCAGGAAGGCTTGACGCGGCTTCCTCGACAGCTTGGCGACCTCGCAGAGACTGGCA